AAAAAAATATAGTGGAAAACCAAGTCTCTGGGATATATCACTGGGACGTAGTGGAAGTGGGTGACATAATTGTTTATATTAGCTCTAATAAATGAGACAAATGCCAGAACTAAATTTCTCGTGTTGCTAAGGCCGTTCTTAACCACAAGGGGACCCTGTGCAAAATTTAACTTAAGGGTTTCTTATCAGATCCTGTAACGAATGAATATCTCCACCTCTGTGAGACTCAATAGCTGAAGTGGGTGACATCAAGAAATCCTCCCAGTGGTTAGAAATGGGTAGCCTGGTGAGCAGCACGGAGGCTACATATCTGGTCCATAGAGCAGACAAAACCCAAGCTTCAGGCCCTGCAAAGATGAGACAGTCCAGAACATAAGAGCAGCAGGGAAGTAGGAAACAAGCTAGGCAAAACTAAGTTTATGGCATAGTGCAGAGGAAGACCTATTTATGGATTTGAAATCCCAAAGGTACAAACCTCTAACTACTTTTAGAATTCTCTTCTTCTTCTTTTTCTTTTAGTGATCCCTTTGGGGTTGGCCACCGTGGATCATCTGCCTTGATCTTACCCTCTTCTGTCACACCAACCCTCTCCATGTCCTTTATCACTACATCCATGAATCTCTCTGTGGTCTATTTCTTTTCTTTCTGCTTGGCAGCCCCATATTTAACTTCCTGTGGCCAGTATATCAACTATTCCTCCTTTGCAACCAATATCACATGAGTGCTTTTTTACACACATATCAGAGCACCAAATATGCATTCATCAGGGTGTCTCAGCTGAAAATCGATATTTCCTAATAATGAAGTGGAAAACTGCAAGGGAAGCTCAGTATTAATTCTTTCTTTTCTTTTCTTTTCTTTTTGCAAATTTTGAGAGTTTAGCGAATTGGGAATTTCTTCTGAAAAGGGCTTTATCAATGGCCATCCCCAGGATTAATGAATGAATTTAAAATTTCCATCCAAAATTCACCATATGTAAGAATTGGAATTTACATACATTCAACCGATTTTCATCTGGTATTGAGAAACTGCCCTGCTGAGCTATCAGGATTCTATATTGACCTTAAAAAACAGATGGTTGCCAGACTTAAAGGTTTTGTGTTGTTAAGGCTATCCTCAGCCATTTGGGGACGGTGGCTGAGATTTAATCTGTAACTATCTGCACCTCTGGGAAACTGATATCATTCACTTATATCACTTTTATATCTTTGTGATATGCAAACTATCAAAGTACACATAAATTTGCACATATTAGGCTAAGCATCCCTATAATATTCTATTCTTTTGATTATTTTAATAAAATTTATTTCGGTTAAACAGTGTAACACAGAAATGTGCACAGTTGTGTTTAATGGCAGACAATTAATGTAGTTCACATACAGTTCATATATGCTACATTATACAGTTGATATAGCAGCATACCCTGCTTCTAAGCCACATTGTCACTTGTGTTGATGTTTAGATTAACACCTGTGCTGTTTTCTTTTTAAAAAAATAAAAAATAAAAATAAAATAAAATAAATGGCAAGCTGAAAAACAGTTAAGCATTCAATTATGCTGATTCTTTTTGTTGTTCGCCATTAAAACAAAAGTCCACTAGATGGCGAAACATTCCCACTGAATTCAGTAGATCAGCGTGCAATTAAATTAATAGAGTTTAACGTTCAAAGACAAATCTCTAATCATTTATGATCGGTAATGGGTTTCAGGGTCAGTCCTACAATGCATGCGAGCTTTCAAATGCAGGCCGAAGTGATCTTTTTTTTTTCTTTTTTCTTTCTAGTTATCGCAACCATGAAACTAGAACATGTATAATCTCCAGGAAAATCTGTAAAACGCGTTGTTGAAATCTCCCAATTCTTTTAATCTTTGGGCTTAAGGAAGGACAATACTCGGTGTATAAATGCTCAATCAACAATCTTTTATTTCCATACAATCCAACACTTTATGAGCATAAGCCATCATGATGGGGAGACATGCATGAAGAGGGTCACAGCAAATCTCAAAATGGTGACGGGCTACTCCGCTTCTTATAGCCTCTAGTGGCCCCCACCTAGTCGTAAAAGCCTAAACATTCACATTCTTTCTCTGTTACGGCGCCTAAGTTATGACCTCGGCTCCCTGTCTTTCTGCTCTCTGTAAAGGTGGGGGTATGGAATGTGGTCTGTCTCTTCTATTATCGGCACAAGGTCCTCTGCACACAACATTCTCTTCATGATTCAGCAGTATGAAATGTCAAGAAACAGTGTAACACATTCACAGCAGATCAAGGGTACAGGGTAATGCACACCTGTCTAACAAATCCAAAAATGGTCACATTCTTTTAACCCAAAAATATAATGGAAAATAAGCTACATACACAGCACACAATCTAGACTAAAGGATATTATATGACCTACAGCAGTTAACATAATTCAACTACTTTAACTACAGATATAAGATAACATATGATAACAGAATAATCTCACAGAGTCCTTCCTACATGTTTCAGCTCAATAGTTTCCCTTTTGGACAAAACAGTTTCTGAGTATTGGTTTGTTTTGCTTGCCTTGAGAAATCTGCAGTTTTTCTTTTCTTTCTTTGTTTGGTGCTATGAAACATTCAGTCTGTAATGAAAATCAGCTGGCCTCGATACCTCCGATCTTTCGTCGGGGAATAAACGGATGAGAATGGAATTCTGCTGCATGCCAGATGTTAACTGATTGAAGAACTCAGTTCCAGAGAAATTTGACACTGACTTCAAAGACCATTTACGGGTTGTTGATCTTGATTTTAAGGATGTTTGAATATTATCGGATTGCATAACGGTAATTATAAGCAATTAAGATGAAAATTATTCTTCCGCGAAAGTACATTGTTGATTGAACACAATGTGAATTGTTGCTTGTATTCAGGAGACCTTTGCTTTTTTTCCCCAGGACTATTTAGTTATCAGTTCCAGGAAAGCTGAAACCCGTTGGGCTTGTCAGAGGGGAGGAGCAAAGGTCTGCTCATTATAGCAGGCCTGAAACTTTCCTTCAGATGAATCTGTGCTGGTTAACTGAATCAGTCATGGAGCTGCTGCTGCCGATACTTCTTGGCTTTCTTGCTTGTCTGGTCGGAGGGCTGTACCTTCTCGGAGTGTTCAGACAGCGGCGACCAGGAGAACCCCCCCTCGATAAAGGGCTCATTCCTTGGTTGGGTCATGTCTTAGAGTTTCGCAGGAACACCTTGAAGTTCCTAGAGAGAATGAAGAAGAAGCACGGTGATATATTTACAGTACAGCTGGGAGGGTTTTATATTACATTTGTCCAGGACCCTTTTTCATTTGGGGGGTTCATTAAGGAGAGTCGGGACAAACTGGACTTTCAAAAGTTTGCAGTGCATCTGGTGCACAGAGTGTTTGGATACAAAGCTGTTGAAGGGGAGCACATTGTTCTCCACAATTCCAGCAACAAGCATCTGAAGGGGGAAGGTCTGCAAGAACTGACCCAATCTTTTATGAGTAATTTGCAGAACATGATGTTGCACAACATTGGATCAGCTGCAGAGGACAGGACCTGGAAAGAAGATGGACTGTTCAGGTACAGCTACAATGTTGTTTTCAGAGCTGGATATTTGGCCTTGTTTGGCAATGTGCCACCCAAGTCAGAACAAAGTGAGGAGAAAGCCAAAGAGAAAGACAGAGCTGAATCAGAAGCTTTGTTTCAGGAGTTTCGTAAATATGACCAGCTCTTCCCCAGACTGGCATATGGGGTCCTCCCACCGATGGAAAAGTTGGCTGCAGAGAGGTTGAAGGCATACTTCTGGGATGTTCTGTCAATACTGAAAATTAAAACAAAGGACAATATCAGTGGCTGGGTGTGGGACATACAGCAGGGTAAAGAGGAGACAGGAATGGATATGTCAATGATAAACAGATACATGTTTGTGCTTCTTTGGGCCTCTCAGGGCAACACAGGGCCTTCTTCATTCTGGCTGCTGCTCTTCCTCATGAAACACCCAGAAGCCATGAAAGCAGTGAAGGAAGAAGTGGATAAAGTTCTGAAAGAATCTGGACAGGGGGTCCGGCCTGGTGGTCCTATGGTCAACCTGACCCGTGAAATGCTGTTGAAAACACCGATCCTGGACAGTGCTGTCGAAGAGACCCTCCGACTCACTGCTGCACCCCTCCTCACCAGGGCAGTGATAAAGGACATGACCTTCAAGATGGCTGATGGGCAAGAATATTTACTTCGCAAGGGTGACAGAATTGCAATCTTTCCCTTCAGTTCTGTCCACCATGACCCAGAGATCCATCCTGAGCCGCATTCATTCAAATATGACCGGTTCCTGAATCCAGACGGGACCAAGAAAACTGATTTTTACAAAGCAGGAAAGAAGGTAAAATATTACACCATGCCCTGGGGATCTGGGGTCTCCATGTGCCCTGGCCGTTTCTTTGCCACCAATGAGCTGAAACAGTTTGTTTTCCTCATGTTGGTCTATTTTGAGTTTGAGCTGAAGAATCCGGATGCGAAGATACCTGAAATTGACCTCAGTCGATACGGATTTGGAACGATGCAACCTGTCAGAGATGTCCAGTTCAGATACAGACTCAGATATTAAGCCAATCAGATGAAAATGAAACTGTGCTTTTCTTTTTCTTTGGATCAAGATGGTTTGATGAGCACATTATAGAAACTATGGAAGCAGATTTAAATCTAAAATTTTTGACATGTTGGTCAACTGTAACGATTCCATATGCAATTGCACTGATATTCTAGACATGTATATGTATATTGAACACATTCTGATCATAACTCTTCATATGTAATTTGCAGATCAGCAATCAGATTAAACACATTAGAAATGGTATTGATGGGAATTTTTTAAGATAACAACAATTATGATTATTGGTTATCAATTATTATTGAAATGCCTGTTTACACACTGGTTCCAAAGTCACAGTGACAAAGCATTTTTCCAGCTTAAAATGTTGGCAGCCATTCGCTGATAAGAAAGTGAATAGAAACAGCATATGACTGAGCAAAGAAAAGAAGCTTTATTTGGTAGAATTGGAAAGGGTTAGAAGATTACCTGTTAGAATGTGTGTCATCAGTGAGAAGCTTAAAAAAAGACCCTAACAACAAAAAGCTGCAATGTTATATTGTGGTTCAAACTTGGGGAGAACTTTATGATCACTGTAGAGTCTGTCCTTTCATGCTGCTGAGTTCATTAGTTTACAGTGTTGTGAGCCTTTCCTGTTAACTGTAAGGGTTTTAGCTGCTGTAGGTGTACTACACAACCCAGAAGATGGGTGATCAATAACAATATAATGGCACAAAGACAACATTTAACAGTCAAAACACATCAAGGTACCAAAATCCATACACAAAAAAAACCTTTTTTCTTTAACACTTAAAAAAACAACAGCTCTAAAATGACATCCTGTACTTGTGTACAACTTAGCTTAGAGAATAACTTCACAAGGCAACTATTTAAACACAAGGCTGCTACACAGTGTATAGCTGTTCCACGGAAGCCAGTGCTAAATTGAAGTGAAAAAATAAATAAAAGAACTTCACCATGACAATGAAACTGCATAAAAGCTACAGAATGAAAGCCTTTTTCTCCACACAGTTTCAACATAATGGCTATATAGATTTTCTTCTCGTCAGGACATCTGTGAAACAAATCTTGTGCACACCTTAATATGAGGCAATACTAAGGGACATAAAATATGAGTCCAAGAGGCCATGTTCACTTGGGTTGGGTTGCTTTCTGTTCTTGTTCAATAGGCTTTGCAAAGTAATCTCTGTACATGGAGAACAGGACACCTGAAAACAACAACAAAACAAAAGAAGCATGTAAAATGACTCGTGTTTATAGTATTATGATTTCAGGTTCAAACCACAAATCACAAATAAAGAACTGGTTGCAGTTTGGCAGTAAGAACTGAAAGATGACCCACCAACAGTCATTGCTCCCACCACAAAGCCTTGGGCAGCTACACGCATGTGAATCAGGTGCACCGACATTTTTGTATCTCCACGACTTTTCATTTTCATCAGCCTGTAGCCAACAATAGCAACAAATCCAGCCATCCCTGCAAAAAGCAAAAGTCACTAAAACAAAAATAAGACAGCAACATATCCCCCAAATCCTCTGAAAACTCACTCAATAAACCCCAAAACTTAAACTTTTCTGAGCACATATTTTATTTGTCCTTGTCATAATATGTACTCACCGACTGGGACAAATGGATTCTCCTTTGCCTTTCGCCAGAATTTGGACTCACTCTCCTCATAAGAAGACATCTCGCCTGAAACAAGAACGAGGTCGATTGAGTTCAAACGTTTGTTGGCCGTGTAGCAGTACAGCATGCAAGCTAATTCAGTGCTGATAGAAACCAATAAAACGCATAGAGAAACATGTCAGGAAGTATCAGGCTGTGCCTCACACAAAAAAAAAAATCTCCAAAATCAGGCTTTAAAAGTCGTTCCCACGAAAGAGGCCCGAGAGTCGCTATTAACAGGACATGAAAACTTCAGAGGTGACAGATGAAGGGCACGGACTAGACCCATCTTTCACAGACCTAACATTAAACAACTGTGCCTGATATGACGCGACACTTTTAAGTAGTATTATATTTAAATATTAGATATTTTGAAAGGGAAGAATTTTTATTCAGCTGCGAGGCCTTTCCGTGTGGTGCGGGAGAAAAATGTGGAAAAGCAACAACTCTAGAGTTAAGATGAGCTACACTTTAAAAAGCACGTAAAGACACTTCCACCGAACTGAAGAGGGCTCCCTCTTACCTGCTTTAAGGTGTCGTTAGCTGGAAGCACCAGTGAAAGAATTATCCGCGGAGATCTACGTCTCCTCCGAGCAGCAGCCTGTAGTTATGGAGGAAGTAATAAGCCGGCATCTACGTGATACATTCTGCGTGCTACATAACAGTTCCCTCGTATGCATGCCTAACGTCAGCAACCGCTGTACTGTGTTTACGTTCAAACAGAATGTAGTAAATACAGGCAACATCTTCGAAAGCCTTGGACCTACAAGCTCAAGAAGGCGGAGAAAGTGGATGAGGTCCTGTTAGCATTTTCACAACATGTGGAACACGACCCAGTGTGACCTAGAGTAATGTGTGTCTACAAAGGATATGCTGGAGCACTCTCTGTATGTGTTAATGTGCTCTGGTTTTGTTTCAGTTTACTATACTGTCATTGCTGTAGGTCAGGGATGTCTAACTCATTTTACATGGTGTGGGACATAAGTGGGCCAGACAATTTAATCCTGGAGATATTTTATTATAAGCCAAAAGAAGTGTTAAAGAATTTCAAGAACTTATTTGAACAATCTCATACACTTGCACACCTTCGTACATAAAGTTTCTTTTTGCACAATGCTAAGTACATTGAAATACAGGGTAAGTATGTTACAGTTTAAACCAAAACAATAAGTCAATAGGAAAAAAAAATAGGGTAAGGAAGGAAGTGGTTGGCTGCAAAACAATAACAACTATATCAGTTTAAAGAAACTACAGAGTACACTCAGACTGGAAAGCTGTTCTAACAGTTATTTGGCAATAACAGGAAAAAGAAGCTTTTTCATACCCAGTCGTAGGGTGTAATATGTAGCTATAAAAAGTTACAGCACATGACAGTACTGAAGAGCATGAGCAAACTCAGACAGTGGAAAGATCACCAGATTACCCAGAGGTGAGTTTAGCCAGAATACTCAGAGAGCAACTCACACTGATCCATAGAGCAGACAAAACCCAAGCTTCAGGCCCTGCAACGATGAGACAGTCCAGAACATAAGACCAGCGGGGAAGTAGGAAGGAAGCAAATAATCAATATTCTTTTGATTATTTTAATAAAATTTATTTCGGTTAAACAGTGTAACACAGAAATGTGCACAGTTGTGTTTAATGGCAGACAATTAATGTAGTTCACATACAGTTCATATATGCTACATTATACAGTTGATATAGCAGCATACCCTGCTTCTAAGCCACATTGTCACTTGTGTTGATGTTTAGATTAACACCTGTGCTGTTTTCTTTTAAAAAATAAAATAAAATAAAATAAAATAAAAGCTGAAAAACAGTTAAGCACTCAATTATGCTGATTCTTTTTGTTGTTCGCCATTAAAACAAAAGTCCACTAGATGGCGCAACATTCCCACTGAATTCAGTAGATCAGCGTGCAATTAAATTAATAGAGTTTAACGTTCAAAGACAAATCTCTAATCATTTATGATCGGTAATGGGTTTCAGGGTCAGTCCCACAATGCATGCGAGCTTTCAAATGCAGGCTGAAGTCAGCTTTTTTTTCTTTTTTCTTTCTAGTTATCGCAACCATAAAACTAGAACATGTATAATCTCCAGGAAAATCTGTAAAACGCGTCCTTCCCACATGTTTCAGCTCAATAGTTTCCCTTTTGGACAAAACAGTTTCTGAGTATTGGCTTGTTTTGCTTGCCTTGAGAAATCTGCAGTTTTTCTTTTCTTTCTTTGTTTGGTGCTATGAAACATTCAGTCTGTAATGAAAATCAGCTGGCCTCGATACCTCCGATCTTTCGTCGGGGAATAAACGGATGAGAATGGAATTCTGCTGCATGCCAGATGTTAACTGATTGAAGAACTCAGTTCCAGAGAAATTTGACACTGACTTCAAAGACCATTTACGGGTTGTTGATCTTGATTTTAAGGATGTTTGAATATTATCGGATTGCATAACGGTAATTATAAGCAATTAAGATGAAAATTATTCTTCCGCGAAAGTACATTGTTGATTGAACACAATGTGAATTCTTGCTTGTATTCAGGAGACCTTTGCTTTTTTCCCCCAGGACTATTTAGTTATCAGTTCCAGGAAAGCTGAAACCCGTTGGGCTTGTCAGAGGGGAGGAGCAAATGTCTGTTCATTATAGCAGGCCTGAAACTTTCCTTCAGATGAATCTGTGCTGGTTAACTGAATCAGTCATGGAGCTGCTGCTGCCGATACTTCTTGGCTTTCTTGCTTGTCTGGTCGGAGGGCTGTACCTTCTCGGAGTGTTCAGACAGCAGCGACCAGGAGAACCCCCCCTCGATAAAGGGCTCATTCCTTGGTTGGGTCATGTCTTAGAGTTTCGCAGGAACACCTTGAAGTTCCTAGAGAGAATGAAGAAGACGCACGGTGATATATTTACAGTACAGCTGGGAGGGTTTTATATTACATTTGTCCAGGACCCTTTTTCATTTGGGGGGTTCGTTAAGGAGAGTCGGGACAAACTGGACTTTCGAAAGTTTTCAGTGCACCTGGTGCACAGAGTGTTTGGATACAAAGCTGTTGAAGGGGAGCACATTGTTCTCCACAATTCCAGCAACAAGCATCTGAAGGGGGAAGGTCTGCAAGAACTGACCCAATCTTTTATGAGTAATTTGCAGAACATGATGTTGCACAACATTGGATCAGCTGCAGAGGACAGGACCTGGAAAGAAGATGGACTGTTCAGGTACAGCTACAATGTTGTTTTCAGAGCTGGATATTTGGCCTTGTTTGGCAATGTGCCACCCAAGTCAGAACAAAGTGAGGAGAAAGCCAAAGAGAAAGACAGAGCTGAATCAGAAGCTTTGTTTCAGGAGTTTCGTAAATATGACCAGCTCTTCCCCAGACTGGCGTATGGGGTCCTCCCACCGATGGAAAAGTTGGCTGCAGAGAGGTTGAAGGCATACTTCTGGGATGTTCTGTCAATACTGAAAATTAAAACAAAGGACAATATCAGTGGCTGGGTGTGGGACATACAGCAGGGTAAAGAGGAGATGGGCATCGATATGTCAATGATAAACAGATACATGTTTGTGCTTCTTTGGGCCTCTCAAGGCAACACAGGGCCTTCTTCATTCTGGCTGCTGCTCTTCCTCATGAAACACCCAGAAGCCATGAAAGCAGTGAAGGAAGAAGTGGATAAAGTTCTGAAAGAATCTGGACAGGAGGTCCGGCCTGGTGGTCCTATGGTCAACCTGACCCGTGAAATGCTGTTGAAAACACCGATCCTGGACAGTGCTGTCGAAGAGACCCTCCGACTCACTGCTGCACCCCTCCTCACCAGGGCAGTGATAAAGGACATGACCTTCAAGATGGCTGATGGGCGAGAATATTTACTTCGCAAGGGTGACAGAATTGCAATCTTTCCTTTCAGTTCTGTCCACCATGATCCAGAGATCCATCCTGAGCCGCACTCATTCAAATATGACCGCTTCCTGAATCCAGACGGGACCAGGAAAACTGATTTTTACAAAGCAGGAAAGAAGGTAAAATATTACACCATGCCCTGGGGATCTGGGGTCTCCATGTGCCCTGGCCGTTTCTTTGCCACCAATGAGCTGAAACAGTTTGTTTTCCTCATGTTGGTCTATTTTGAACTTGAGCTGATGAATCCGGATGTGAAGATACCTGAAATTGACCTCAGTCGATACGGATTTGGAACGATGCAACCTGTCAGAGATGTCCAGTTCAGATTCAGACTCAGATATTAAGACAGTCAGATGAAAATAAAACTGTGATTTTCTTTTTCTTTGGATCAAGATGGTTTGATGAGCACTTCCAAACTATGGAAGCAGATTTAAATCTAAAGTTTTTGACGTGTTGGTCAACTGTAACAATTCAATATGCAAATGCACTGATATTCTAGACATGTATATGTATATTGAACACATTCTGATCATAACTCTTCTTCTTTAAGTAATTTGCAGATCACCAATCAGATTAAATCCAGTTAGAAATGATATTGATGGGCATTGTTTAAGATAACAACAATTATGATTATTGGTTATTAATTATTATTGTGAATGTTCCCTTTTTTTCTGTAATTGATGTGACATGTGCACTTAGAAATTGAGACGATTCATGTATATCGTAGTCAGTTTCAATTTTTAGTTCAATTTTCTATGTACATTACAAGTTTTTGCTTTTTGTTTTTTCCAAAATAAATTTTTTTTGTAAATGTCAGATTTTGGAGTTTTATGTGAGCCTCTTTTAAAACTCAAAAAACCAAAACAAACAAAAACAAAGTTATAGGCTGACTTCAGTCAACTCAGTGACATAGATTCTTTTACTTGTTCCCAACAACAAAATCCAATAGATGGCAGCAGATTCCCACATTCCCAATGTTTTTAAAATAAACAATAAATTGTACAAAAACACAGAATCTTAGAAGAATGATACAAATGAAAACTAATATACGTGATTTTATATTTAATTTATTTTAAAATGAATGTCAGGAGTTTAAATACATACTCCAGTTTAAAAATAAAAATAAAATTAGAAACTTTTGGCAGTTATTTTATTGTTCATGCTTTACAGGTTAAAAAATTCCATTCACAGAATGGCTGGCTCACCACTTTAGTGATGAAACCTCAGTTACAAAAATGCTTTTGTGAATTTTGCTGAAGTTGCAGATAAATAGTAAGAATAAATGCATTTGCCTGATTAATAACTTAGGTTATAATAAGAAGGATTTTGACATTCAAACACAAATTAATCATGAACAGAAATTATTTCAAGGTCATTCACACAAGGCAAGTCTGATTTCAAATGCAAATCAGGGTCAGATTTTTTTTACAACCATAAAACACGCACACATAGATAATCTCTAGGACAGCGTGGGGAGAAAAAAAAACAAGGAGTTTGTCTTCTGTGGTTCAGCTCAGTGCTGCTCTTTAAGGCCAAAACATGACAGTTTCTGTGTCTAATTGGAGTAAGCCAGACATGTTTTTGTTTGCCTTTGCCTTTAGTGTTCTTTGGTCTATGACTGATGCTGTGAACCATCTTTTGTAAAGTTCATTTAGCAAAACCAACAAAAACACTCCGACAGTGCAATTCCCCCTGAACTCCGTGACCTTGACCCGATGTTGCACCATATCGATTTTTCGCTTTCACGTGTTTTCTTGATCCCTTTGGTGCTCTCATCAGGAAAGTTCAATCTCACCACTAATGAAAACAGTTAAGACATTTTTAATAACACAGATTCATCACTGCAAAAGAAAGTGAAATGAAATCTTTATCAAATATGTAAAAACATGCAAAGCCAGTCAATCATTTTTGAACTTCAGCAGACTGTCTCGACTATCTACCAGACATGTGCAGAGGGGCCGGCAGGGGCTTGAGCATCTGCCCCTTTCCTGATGGGTGCCCTTTTCTTGAGCCTTTTTTTTAATGTGTGTGTAAATACAAAATATGAGTAACTGTATTCCGTTACAGTTACCGTTTAAAAAGGTGGTATTTAGAATACAGTTACTTTGTTGAAATAAATGGATTACACGGCGGTACTTCCCTGTTTCATATTGTCGCGGGTCAGGACTGTTTGGGTTTTGTTCGACAGCTATGTTCTGTTGTTCCAGGCGGCAGCGTTACGGTTGCCATGGTTACAGGGTGACGCTCTCTCTCTGCGTGTTTCCTGGGTGAGAGAGCGCCTTTTTGTTGTTGTTGTGCTAAGCTAACAGGCAGAATGCTACAGGTATAGCTCTAAAGAATGTAGCATCATAGGCAGTGTAGTCCGTGCTGCAGGGAGAATGGACTGCCATACACGTTATGTGTCTGTGAGCGAGGGAGGGAGAAAAAGTAAAAGTAAAAGCTGTCATCAAGCAAAAACGGGAGCTGGAAGCATGTAAATATAATAATAACCACTGCAGCCAAGAAGAGTGCCTGAGGAGCCCAGTTGTAAGTAAGCTATTAAGACTCGACTGTACACCGTGTTCGTGTTTTCCTCCAAAAACAATAAGTTCTGTTGGAGCAGCCTTTCAACGCCTCTCTCTGTCTCTCGCAAGCAAAGTTGACCCAGACAACAAAGTAAAACTAATTTTCGGCTACGAGCCCGACACAGAATTACCATATTAGCCAGAGGTCCCTTTACTACGTTCGGAGCCGCGGACCTTCAGTGACAGTAATAAATCACATTTTTATTATTTATTTATTATTTATTATTACATATTTATTATAAATAATCCTAATTATACATCTTGCTTCCATATTTGTATCCTGTGTCACTAAAAATACTTTTTATTTTAGTTTTATACATTGATTAATGACCTGCAGAATCTCCTTATCATATTAAGTGATTCATAATTGTCACTTTATGCTTTCTCCATCTCTAAAGTGATGACATCCTTGCATTACATACTTTAGGTTCATTTTCTGCAGGCAGGTTTCTGACAGAGAACAGACAGATTTAGACTATAACCTGCAGCGCTCTATAGATGGATACATAAAGAAATGCATAATTACATGTATGTGCTAACTTTCTAGACACTTTGTTACATTTATGATAAAGTAGATAAAACACATTTGTGTTGGCCTTGGCTCATAGTTCTTGTCTTTAAATGAACTTTGTCTGTGTGTGTTTCAGGTGCTGCTCTCTCAAAGACTGAATGAACCAGCATTGCAGCCATGGGTCATTGTGAGCATCACAGGGAAGGTTGAAGTCGCCCACTGCAGCTGTATGGCCGGAGTCGCAGAGACCTGCACCCACGTCGCTGCTCTTCTGTTTAAAGTAGACCGAACAGTGTTGATCTGTGGCACAAGGACTGTTACAGATGAACCTGCATACTGGGTTTTGCTGGGTAATATTACCAAGATACAGCCAGAGGTTGGCCATAAGATAGACGACTTCTCTTCAGCTGCCCAAAAAAAGGCTCTTGATCAAAACATACACAGACCATCTGTAGTGACAGGTAAAAGGAGCCGTCCCCAAAACAGAAAAATCCCACCTGCTACTGTGGAGGAGTTGTCACTGCTATAATGCCATAATGTTTTATCTATGGGTCTAGATGTATGCTTGTAGTGCACTGCTGTGTAAATAATTTGCATTTACTGAATATGTACTGACTGAGTCCCGCTGTTCAAAACTTGAATAAAGAAACAAAATAATTTTGCCTTTTTTTAAATTTTTATTAAAACCACTTTATAGAACATCACATCAGTAACAGTGTAAAATCCATGTCATTTACAGTTTACAAATGACAAAATGTTTACACAAAATCATGAGTGTTTACATGATATCACCCACTACTAACATTACTTTATTTACTGTATCTTTTGAAAAAATAACAGCACAATACTTAAGAACATTTAACAGGAGCAGGTTTCATTCTTCTCTGGTTTTATTATCACACTGTTCACCAAACGCAGCAAACCTTCACCATCTTATCCAGGAGGGTCACCTCTTCACCCTCACATGGAAGAAGTAATCTGATTGGCATGGTGGTTTGTTTGAAGCAGGTCCCTCGTGTAGCGCTGGAACTCAGTCATGATGTTTCATCCATTTCATGGGCTGGTTTGCTGCAATAATGCCAAATAATTAGCAACTCTATAAATAGACGGTAGTTCTGCAAAATCACTCAGTAGGATGTTTGTTCTAATTTGCTATGAGCTCAGAGCGCATAGAAAATAAAACTAATAGGCTATAAAGAGTGATATGAACATATTTAGAACTTACCGGAATGAAAATGTCTGGAGCACCAACAGATATTTGGAGATGGAAGAGAACTGCACGTCAGCTCGTCTCACAGCTGCTCTCCAGGCTAGACGCCTTCGTTTGCTAACATCGATACACAAGCCGCTCATGTTGCTTCCAGGTTGGGAAAGAATGAAAAGATAAACCATTTTCAAGCTTATTCTCTTGCCGGTCGTGCGATCGAACATTGCAGCCGACCACACAGCAAATACGAACCGTGGCTGTTGTGTGTGCTCCCTTTTCACTTGCGCTAGACCCCCAAAATGGCGGATCGGGCCAAAATCCTTTCCACGCCCACCCCCGTGACATCACGCTCCAAAGCCCTATAGTACATTCACGTAGTTGTAAACAGCATGATAATATATTAAGTAATCCAAAGTATTCAGAATACATTATAGAATACATTTTGGGGCATGTATTCTATAATCTGTCGTGTAATACATTTTAAAAGTAACCTTCCCAACACTGACTATAGTCTACAGCCCACAGGAGTATTCGTTTGTTATGTACACATGGTTAAGTTCTCTTGTGGCAACTGATGAATTGAAACAAATGAGCATTGTTGTATGTGCACTGAGCGACAGAGCAACAAAACATTACCTGTCCTTTTATTAACTACAGAAGTAGTGGTAGTCATTAGCCGCTAGCTAACTGGGTAAGGGTGTCAGAGGTTTGTAGCTCTTATTATAATTACGATATTCAAACACACACACACACACACACACACACACACACACACACACACACACACACACACACACACACACAGTATTTTAAAGAAAATACAGATTATATTAGATTTATATTTCAAATATAACAAAATGATGATTCTTCAGCAGAAAAATTATTGTATCTCTACGGTTTAAATATTGTACAAATTGAATCATCATAAATACATTATTTTATATTTATTGCTTTTTTTAAATTTTTATTACTTTATTTTTATATAAAAAGGGAAGAATTCTGGATCAGCATCATGATCGAAACTTTTGGCCATAGTATATACAGTGTTCTGGAGAAGGTATAAAATGTCACTGTATGCGCATGCGTGTGTGCACTTGTTTAATCAGCTACCATCTTTCCTATGGACTTTTTAATGTCTACAGTCACAGATCGACAGCAACATTTTACCCCATCAGGTGAAACATAGGCTATGTTTGCTTTGCATTGACCCCACCTGATGACAGTGATACAGTATGACGCGATTCCATATTAGATTCTTGATGAATTTGGGTTGTTGTTGTTCAGCCTGGTTATATGTGACCCTTTTTAACTTGTTTTGTGATGCTCTCCTTGTAATTGCATATGTATGCAATTTGCGGGGTGGGGGTGGGGGGTTGTCTCCCCTCTCTCAAAACATACAACTCAGACGGCAGGTATCAGGAAAATGAGGACAAGTGGGTTGGACATTGACATCAGCTGTTGTTCTAGTTCATTCTATTAAGAAAACAAGTTCGACTCGGGTAATTTTCTGCACAAGAGATAAAAAAGGTTTGGGTCATGACTTTATTGTTTTGAATTCCGAGATTAAACCCCACTGGCTGAGCAGGTGACCATATTCTATACAGCTCAATGTTGGCCCTTTGCTGTGTGTCTTTCCCTGTTATCACTCCCCTCTTTTCTATATACTTTTGACTGCTGCACTATCAAAATAAAGAAGCTGGCACCTGGGAGGAGTCAGTTCAGTTATAGATAATGCAAATGACAAAACAGACCATGTGGCTTGCAGATGTGTGCAGTTCTGCATGGCAATGGGTAAAACTGAAGAAGATACAAAGCCCTAGAAATAACAAATATAACAAATCAAATCAAAGAAAACAAGAGAACTCCATATGAAACTCTTTGCTAACCTCAACAAACCAGACTAAATGCACAGATATACATATGTAATGAGACCAGTACAAATGCAATACACATGTAGACTTATTCCAATTAAAGACTTGTTCACAGAGTAACAAAGTGTGCAGAAGCAGAATCAAAAAAAAAATTCAAAAATCTGAAATTTTAACAACAAAAAAACAAATCTGTTTTCTCTCCATTGTGTATCCAGCCTCTTGCCCTATAACAGCTGGAAAAGGCTCCAATTCCACTGCAATCCTGGACTGGATAAATAGAAGGAGATGGACGGCTGGCACTGATTTTCAGAAAAATTCTACTTAATTTGGATATGGAAAATGTAACGGAAAATCTGCAATACATGTGTTCCCATGCTTCATTTTATAAGTCTCCATGTATCATCCAAAGAATTATACAAAAAAAGGTGTTTAAAGATAAGACTTTTGTTTTTATCTGATTGGCTTAATATCTGAGTCTGTATCTGAACTGGACATCTCTGACAGGTTGCATCGTTCCAAATCCGTATCGACTGAGGTCAGTTTCAGGAATCTTCTCATCAGGATTTATCAGCTCAAGTTCAAAATAGACCAACATGAGGAAAACAAACTGTTTCAGCTCATTGGTGGCAAAGAAACGGCCAGGGCACATGGAGACCCCAGATCCCCAGGGCATGGTGTAATATTTTACCTTCTTTCCTGCTTTGTAAAAATCAGTTTTCCTGGTCCCGTCTGGATTCAGGAAGCGGTCATATTTGAATGAATGCGGCTCAGGATGGATCTCTGGGTCATGGTGGACAGAACTGAAAGGAAAGATTGCAATTCTGTCACCCTTGCGAAGTAAATATTCTTGCCCATCAGCCATCTTGAAGGTCATGTCCTTTATCACTGCCCTGGTGAGGAGGGGTGCAGCAGTGAGTCGGAGGTTCTCTTCGACAGCACTGTCCACACTGCAAAAATGGCTAGTCTATATTTAGGAAAAAAATACTACATTTGATACAAAAAGCACTGAAAACAAGTGAAATTATCTGTCCATGCAGCAAGTTTATTTTACTTAATAAGAAATCTTGAAATAAGATTTTTTAATCCAGAAATAAAAGAACACATTTGAGAATTGAAGAGGGTTAAAATAAGCTTTAAAGAGCTCAATTTAAGATAAAATTACTTGATATCAAGTCCCAAATATTAGTTAAATATGCTAAATTACAGTCTTTTTTTATGTTTTGAATTCTTACTTGCAGCAAATGAATGCACTGCAACGAGAAAAATAGTTCTAATACTATGAAAAACTACTCAATATTAGTGAAATATGATTAATTTGTTTCTTGATTCAGGTTGGCTTATCTTAAAATAGAGCCGAATCAATATTAAATCCAGGCAAAAAAAACCTTAAAACAGACCTTTTTCCTACTCCTTGGCTTCTACTGAAATCACAACCAGGACAAGAGTGATATGCCAACATTTATTTCTCTCATGAGAACAAAATCCTTTTTTTTAAACAAAATAGGGCTGCTGCACAATCCCTAAAAGTCTAAATCAACCCTTTAAAAGGCCTAAACACAGAAAAAAAATTACAGTTTTGGCCTTAAACTTTTGTGACAGTCACATAGTCTCACAATGTTATAAATAATGGCATTACTGACTTAAAACTTTACATGCCTCAGGTAAAGTGTCACTAAGAAAAAAAAACAACAACTTTCATTTGTAAAGCATCTTAAGTAAAGCCGTTTCTCAGGACATTGCTAGGCAAATTAGGAACAAAGTTGTACAAACGTACTACAAAACTAAACAAACTGCAAATGACCTGATAAAATCCTGCTTGGTATTCACCTATTTTTCAAAGAACGACTTCCACTCAGCTATTGCTTTCTTATATGCACTAGTGGCATCTTGATCATGGATGGCATCAGTGATTACCTCAGTTTGTATGACAGAGAGGACCGTTGCAACACATTTTGGGTATGTTAAGTGCAAGGTGTAGTAATATGCCATCAACACCAACATTCCTTCCCAGAAATCCTCCAAGGGGAGAGTGGTCACTGGTATGTTTCCTACAGCAACAATGCTGGTTGTTTCATCAAAAAGCAGCACTGGGGAGGAGAGAGGCCGCTTCTCCAGGTATAGCATTGCATCTTCACCTGGCTAGAAGAAGCACAAAAAAAGGACAAATTCTTCAAGATTTTAAATGAAAGGGTTGCTGTGCATCCAAACAGCTTAAGACACAAATAGCAATATCAAGAGTTTAGAATGCTCCAACTGATTTACTGTTGGAATAGAAGAAATAAATATAAAATATCTGACTTACATAAATATGAAATTTTGGAAATGTATTAATTCTGAGCATGAATTTTCTCTAGTTTGCAGCATTTTTATCATGTCTATTTGTGCTCTTTTTCTCATTTGTTTTTTAAAACAATTTCTTTTAACTTTGTTACATATTCTAGTTTTTGAAGGCCTTTTTAAATATATCATTTTACTGCTTCTACTTGTATCCTAACTGCAATGTGCTTTTGCTCTGTGCTGCCTCTCTGGAGTAGGTTTTGAATAACAATTAAGAAATCCTGAATAAGGAGTAATTTAATCCCTGCTGAATTGAACTTCGACCTACTCTTATTAAGCAGGAAAAGCAAAATAATAATATTAATAATAACAATACAAGTAAATGGAGTACAAGTTACAGTGGCTGGTATTGCAGCTGTTCTCACCTTGAGGATATGAAGGAGAGCCTCACTGGCACTTCCCAGCCGCTTTGGTGGTGTAGTTTTTGAAGGAAAAAGAGATGGAAGTGCATTGAAGAGAGTGACAGTAAAATCCACTGTGAACAGAGAAAAGTATCTCAACAAAGCAATCCAAACATATCTGATGTGTGGATTTAATGTATGAAAAGGCCACTTACCTCCACGTACATCCAAGGGGAGAGGAGGTTTCAGGACCTTCTTCCAAATGCCATAGAACTGCACTTTCGAACAAAACTCTGCCCATCGACCCTTCATTTGATCTATGTATTTGCAGTTGGAGCCACCAATGATGCGACACAGTTCATCCATCGCCTATGACAAAGTTGTGCTCAGTTAGTCAAGAACTAACTAAACCTATCCAGAGAAAGCAAGGAATTTAACTGAAGGTAGTTGAACTTACATTTTGTATGTCTTTGAAGCACGGGTATGCTTCAAATATTTTTCTGGGCCTGTCTTCTTCCCTTGTAATATCTGCGTCAATAAAAGTTCGTCTGGCCTCAAACTCCAGGTCCAAAATTTGAGCAACGTCACTTTGGTTGGGTTTTGCATTGGGTTTCCTGTACATGTTGCTCAAGGTTTTGTAATGTCTTGCCTGCATCTTCAGGCTGTCATGGTCTGCTAGGGAAAGCAAAGAGCAATTGTAAGACATGGTGTAACTAGACTTCACAAAATTCAGATTTTTCTAATCAGTCATTTCTAGTTGCATGGTTGTTTTTAAGTATAATATTTCTGAGAATTAATGTTTAGGTTAAATATGTTTGAGTAATGAACTGACCCTATATGTCCTGATCATTTCCCTTTGTGTCCTTTTCTTATAATGATCATGGATTTATGTTAATTGTTAGTTTGAACAGAATCAAATATTAAAACGACAGTTTAAGATGCCCGTGAATAAAACTGTGGTGAAAATAAGGTAAAGGTTGTTTACTGTGTATATCGTTCACATCAGTGTGAACAGTGATTATGAGCTGATGGATAAAAATATTTTAGGTAATTTGATCTATGACAGAAACACTGTGATAAGGCATGATAGATGTGACCAGCATGAGGATTTACATGTGTAAATAATCAGCACTGAGTAACACCCATTACAACACAAAGTGTTAAAATACTTACTATGGCTAACTGGCAAACTGGAATGAGGGATCTATCATATGTTGATTTTACACACCAACTCGAGTTAATGCCAAACCACTATGATTTATGGAATAAACACTTAGAACAGGGTTCATTGCTGCAACCATATTTTGGAAAGAGCTGTAAGAGGAACCACAGTCAGACAGAGGTAGATAAGGGTGATGGTGGACTTACCAACAACATCATCTGGAGGTGCAGTTGAAGGACCTATATCAGCCCTGGGTGCAGAGCATGAGGCTGACTTGGATAATAGTGGTAAAGCCAGGGTAGTATTGTTTGACGTAGTTGGTACAGTGGAGGGTAGCGGCAATTGGGATTCTTTCTCTGAGGAAAAAACAGAAGATGAACAGAATGTAATAACAGGGAATAGCTAGAAAGTTAAGGAAAATACTCAACACTGTATAAATCTTGTGATGCACTCTGAACAGAAAACTGAGGGCAGGTGGTCTCTTTGAAGTTTTAGATGTCCAAAAGTCATTAGTACAGCAGACCAAAGTACACACCTGCATTTGAGTTATCCTCACTGAGGTCATCATTGCTCTCAAGAAGTATGGTATAGTCACTTGAACCACTTGCTTCACCACTTAGGTCACCTTCAGTCCCGTTGTCTGTGTCATCTGAGCTGAAAAGAGTCTTCCTGGGCCTGCCTCGTTGTGGCATGGAGCCCTGCCTCTTCCTTGGAGACTTCATATTTTGGAGTCGTTTGTACAGTTTGGTGTAGATGGTCAGCTGTGGTAAAATAATATATATTTGTACATTCTTTTTTTATCTCGCTCAATTTTAGATATTGTAGTGAGTAAAGAATGACTTACGTATGGCGTGTGTGTCAGCATCACGTAACATGGGGTAATAGTCGACAATCTTCTGCGACATTGCTCTCATTTCGAGTTTGGAGGGGTATGTTACTTCTTTCCCCATGGGACTAGCACGGAGGATTGCAACCATGCTGGTGACGGTGTTCCTTACAAGTCTGCAACATAGCTCCTTCGACATCCTACAGTCCTTTTCCTTTCCACTGTGGAGCAATGCAAAGTACTGACTGCGCACCATGTCCAACTCTGAATCTGTATACACCACATACTCTGGTGGGTCTGGCATTTTCATTTTTTTGTCAGCAGTGTAGGAAATGGGAGTGGAAGTTTGAGGCTGACATTGTGACACATCAAAGCCTAAGGGGTTACTCTCGCTTCGATGGAAAGTGTTGGCATCTTGGTCAGTACTCTTAAACTATAACAGTTGTGGGATATAAACAAAAATACACAATTAGGCAAATTAATGCTAGACAATATGGACAGTAATCATCTTCTTAGTGGTATAATGTGTATTTACCTTTTGGCTGATAAAATCCCAAATCTTCTTTCTACGGAAGAAATTTTCATGGCCCGGAAAAAGATCCTTTAGGTCATCCCGGGTAAAGCTCCTCAAAGTTTCCTCATCAATATTCGCAGCTGTAAAAGAGAAAAACAACTTCAAAAGTGATATTTATTTCTCTTTTCCTGGGCGTGGCTTATTACATATTGAGGTCATTTTTTTTGTCAATAAATGTATTTTAGCAATAAGTAATATTAACAGGATAAAATGTCAAACTTAAAACAGTTTATCAAATATTTGGGAATGCAATAAAACTATTTTTGGCTGTCTTCAAGAATGATGTTCCAAGTCTATTTTGGCAAAGACAGCTCAAGGCTATAATGTGGATAAAGTTCAGAGTAGAGTGCAATCCTAGCTCCAAGTTTCAGAAATGATGCTAACAGATGCTAAGGCTGCTTAGCTAACGTACCAAAATAACTGAAAAATAAGACTTACCCTGCAACACAGACAGTATGGCATCGTCAAAGTTGTCCATGCCGTGACAGCAGTTCTCTAGTTCGGTTCCAAAGCCTCCACTCACAGTGCCTGGAAATATCCTACAGCTTAAATAAGATCATTTAGCTAAAGTTAACACATTAGCTAGATTGCTAACTAGCAGCCCTCACAAAACACGACTTTATCTTAATAACACCGTTGTACCATAGTATTTTTCAAATCAACTTAATGTTACCAACCTTAAATTACTGTTCACTTTGTTTAGATAAATAATTTTGATCTTCCTAACGGTCCTGATGGTTAACAAAGCAGGGGAAAAAAGTTTGTCCCGCGTGAAAGTAACGTCACGACAGGAACTGAGAATGCGCATGCAGAAAATTATTTATATTTAATTTTTTTTAAGTAAAAAAAAGAAAAGAAAAATATAAATTCAGTCTTAAACACTTATTGCCTAAAAATAAATATAACTGATGTAATTTAAACCTGAAAAATTGGATAATTAAGGATGCATATATTTTTAAAATTGCCTACCTTTCCCATGGTCCCACACTCTCATCTGTGGCCTTCAGTGGAGAGCGGTAAAGTAAAGCTGCATTGCTACTGCGCGAAAACAGTTCACCATGGCGCTCTGGAGATGTATGATCTGTTTTATCTTTGTTTCTTTAACTCTGAAGGTGCTCCTTAGCCACATAAATGCAGCTCATGGTCGAAGGCAGGATTTTTGGGTTTACTGTGGAATAGATGGCTGTGAACAAGATTTCAGAGTTTTTAACTCATTCTTTCGCCACATTAAACGGACGCACCCTCTGTATTTGACGAATGGAAGCCCACCAAGAGGATGGAGGATCCCCCCAACATCCCACTCTTTAGGATCGGAAAATTTTGGTGTTTCAGTCTTTGCCAACTGTAGTACTGCAACAACAACCAGCGCCGTGGAAATATCAACTGGTGGATCTTGGCCTGAAGTGCAGGAGCCTCAGGTTGTTGACAGCCCGAGCGCGGTAAGTGTTAAACTAAATAAAATGTAGTGTGGCTTCTGATGACAAATTTAGCTATGTCTAACTCCTCGTATTTGGTCCTATATTACTTTTAATCATTTTCTCCATTTTTAATCAAGAGAAATTTAACGAGATCTCGCGATATTATACCGCTAGATATTGTTCTTCAAACTGTTACAAGCGATTTCCACCATGGTTGGATTTTAAATCACAATTTCATCCTGCAGGATGAAATGAAAAACAAATAAACAGAATAGCAGTTCAGTGTAGATAGTACAGGCTATGCTGCAGCCGGAGAAGGCACACACTCTGCGGCTGGCATGTCTCCTGGTGAAGTTTGCATCAAAGACACTCTCAGGGCGTTTAAATCGTTCAATGTGACAGCAATTTGGGTATCTCGTAGGAATTACAGTTTCAGGTAAGACACAGAGTATTTGGAAGCACTGTAAAAAAAATCTGTTGGCTAGAAATACTGCCAAAACATGGATAAGAATGATTTTTTTGAAAATTAAATAAATTAATAAATGCATACAATAAAATATATCCATATACTAATACTAACATAAATTCTAAGTGCAAATCTAAATTACGTGATTTAAAAATACATAAATAATTTAATAAATACAACAAACATGTAAAGAAACTAATATCTAAGTGCGAACAAAAATTCATTATTTAAAAAGATAAAATCTCATTCTCATGAATCCAATCCCTAGCCTCATCAAAACAATGGACAACCCCTTTTTTATTGTTTCTTTGTCTTTGATTTCTTTTCCATTTTTTTTCTTTATTCCAAAGAATGAATATTATATTATCTTATATTCTATTGAATATTCACAACTGTAACACTAATCACTGTCATGCACTTTGTTTTTTAATGGACCAATCATTAGGTGTAACTGATTATACCTGTTATGTAAGAATTTCTATAATTGGCCAGGAGTTTGGACTAACTTTGTTTTTCTGCTCTAAAGGAAGAAGCTGTTGCTAAAACATCCTTTACCAGACACGATATTACCAGATCTGCTGCAGCTTTTGCTATCAGTGTTCAAGAACAGTGCCACTTATCACAGGTATGTTATAGTCTTAATTGATCAATACATTACATAAGGCAATCAATGTCTTACTTGTTCATAATGGAATTCAGAATTTTTTTTTAATATAAATGCAGAATAAGTTACTTTTGTTTCAAATGTTTTCACAGAGAACGGTCAAACATATCATCTCAGGAGTGCAACAGTATCAGGCTGTTCTTTTGGATACGCTCAAGGAAAGAATGAAGACAGTGTTTGAAGATAATGCCGAGGGAACCACTCAGCTTCAAGATGAGGCTTTGGCTACATTTGATAAATTCATGGATCCTTTCTCCACCATTGCATATGGACAGCGTAGAGCCATAGGGGAAATGTTCTGTCCAGTCAATGCCGAGGAAGTAGTAGTATCCCAGAAGATATGTTGGGTAAAGCAAGGTCTTTCAAGGGTCATGTCCTTAAGGAACAAAAGTTTTTACTATGTACCATTAATTGAAAGTCTAAAGCAGTTAATGACTAATGAGAGAATCTTTACCATGTTGAACACTGCACCACAAAGAAGCAGAGAGGGATTCTTCTATGATTTTAGAGACGGGTCCCTCTTTACATCTCACCCCTTGTTTTCTCAGAGGCCAAATGCATTGCAATTAATACTGTACACAGATGAAATTGAAATATGTAACCCCTTAGGGTCCCATGCTTCTGCAAACAAATTGGTCATGTTTTATTATACTTTAGGAAATATTGATCCAAAATTTAGGTCAAAGTTAGCTGCAATACGACTTCTTGCTATTGCTAAAGCAAGTGACATTTCTCAGTGGGGTATTGATGTTGTACTGAAAAGAATACTTCAAGATCTATCACTGCTTTACAATGGTGTAAGGATTGAAATGTCAAATGGTGAAATTGAATTGTTTGGTGCTGTTATAGCCATTTGCGGAGACACGCTAGCCCAGCATGAGATTGCTGGCTTTAAAGAAGGGATTGGTTTTGCTTATAGCAAATGTAGACACTGTGAATGCAACTTTGATGATATGCAAAGTGTTTTTGAGGAGAAGAAGTTTGTTCAAAGAACTCTGGAGAAACATATCAGGCAGTGTTTTGAAATAGATAAAGCAAGCACAGATTTATTGAAAGCGTCCCTCAAAACTACTTATGGAATTAATAGAAGAAGCAGACTAGTTGATGTTCCTGCATTTGACCTGATCAAACAAACTCCACAGGACATAATGCATGTTATTTTTGAAGGTGTTGCATCAATGGAAGTTAAATTTGTATTAAAACACCTAATTCTCTCAGGACAATTGGAATTAGACAAGTTTAATTCAGACATTCAAAATTTTCCTTACTCACCTCTTGAAATACGGGATAAACCATGTCCTATTAGCTTTGGCACTTTAGCGGCTAACGACAACAAATTGAAACAGTCTTGTGGACAGATGCTAATTCTTTTAAAAATATTACTTTTTCTTTTGTATGGTGTGGAGAGTGAGTATGTTGTATTTATTAGAAAGTTAATTATGATAGTTCAAATAGTTCTTGCTCCCATTATTTCTTTACAAACTGTATTGCAACTGAGAAATATGATTGAAGAACACCTGTATCAGTTCAAGCAACTTTTTCCCGAAGCCAATATAATACCTAAGCAACATTATATGTTGCATCTTCCCAGTCAAATCTTATCCCTTGGACCTTTAATAAGGAGTATGTGCATGCGCTTTGAGGCAAAGCACTCCTATTTTAAACAGTGGGCTTCTAAGTTAAATTTTAAAAATGTTTGTAAATCCCTAGCAAACCACATTCAATTTCTTGAGTGTTGTCAAAATGAAATAGGCACTGAACATCCTATTTTTGCGAAAGAAAAGGAATCCGGGCCAGTATCAGCTGTTAAAAATAATGAATATGTTAGGAAAAAAATTAAAGAATTTTTTGGAATAGATGTCATGCAGTCTGTTGTCTCAGTGAAATGGTATGTTCTAAATGGCAATAAATACATTGCTGGGAAGTCCATGATTATTGCAGATGTGGATGGCACTTTCCCTGTGTTTGGACTGATAAAGGATATCTTTTTGATTGACTCATCTTTTATTGCTTTTGAGTACCAATGCTATGAAACTTTGAATTTAAATGAAGACTTATTGGCATATGAAGTAACTGTGCCCATTGTTGCTCAAGCTACAGAATTAGCCCATGAGCTCATTGATTACACTTCATACTTTTCTATTAGTTTTAAGGACAGTGTGTTTGTTCCAATCAAATACAGTCTTTCTGATATTATTTCCCATAGAAATCACCCTTAAGATTAGGGTTGCACCAAGTATTGGCTTAGTGTAGTTTGTGATGATATAAGGTCACACTCATTTAACGTTCCCTAAACCAATGTCAATGTTGTACCACATAATGCTGGCATGCTGGGACAAACAGCTGTCTTTGAAATGTGATTTGTATCATAAATTGTGGTTAATTTTTTTCCCTTATATGTACAACTTTGAAGTCAGACATGATTTTGAATAAATAATATTTTCAACAGATGCCTTGTGTGAATTTCCTAAATCAAGCAAATTGAGTTTGTCACTCTATCTTGAAACAAGTGATATTTTGAGAGACATCTGGTGAGATACCTAATGTAGGCTATTTTAAGAGTTATTCTTCCCATTTCTGGATTTCTGTACTAATATAGACACAATTATATGGTTATTCTCGATTTAAGTTTATTATCTAAAATCCAGACTTAGAAACAAGTAAATCTTTTTTAAAACAAGGCAAATAATCTGGCCTGTCTAAAAATAAGATTTTAAATCATGGCAAGCACCAGATAATTTGCAGTGCAGGATCGGTGTTTTCAACAGCATTTCACGGGTCAGGTTGACCATAGGACCACCAGGCCGGACCTCCTGTCCAGATTCTTTCAGAACTTTATCCACTTCTTCCTTCACTGCTTTCATGGCTTCTGGGTGTTTCATGAGGAAGAGCAGCAGCCAGAATGAAGAAGGCCCTGTGTTGCTCTGAGAGGCCCAAAGAAGCACAAACATGTATCTGTTTATCATTGACATATCGATGCCCATCTCCTCTTTACCCTGCTGTATGTCCCACACCCAGCCACTGATATTGTCCTTGGTTTTCATTTTCAGTATTGACAGAACATCCCAGAAGTATGCCTTCAACCTCTCTGCAGCCAACTTTTCCATCGGTGGGAGGACCCCATACGCCAGTCTGGGGAAGAGCTGGTCATATTTACGAAACTCATGAAACAAAGCTTCTGATTCAGCTCTGTCTTTCTCTTTGGCTTTCTCCTCACTTTGTTCTGACTTGGGTGGCACATTGCCAAACAAGGCCAAATATCCAGCTCTGAAAACAACATTGTAGCTGTACCTGAACAGTCCATCTTCTTTCCAGGTCCTGTCCTCTGCAGCTGATCCAATGTTGTGCAACATCATGTTCTGCAAATTACTCATAAAAGACTGGGTCAGTTCTTGCAGACTTTCCCCCTTCAGGTGCTTGTTGCTGGTAATGCGGAGAATACCGTGCCACCCTTCAACAGCTTTATATCCAAACACTCTGTGCGCCAGATGCAGAGCAACCTTTCGAGCGTCCAGTTTGTCCCGACTCTCCTTAATGAATCCCCCAAATGAAAAAGGGTCCTGGACAAATGTAATATAAAACCCTCCCAGCTGTACTGTAAATATATCACCGTGCTTCTTCTCCATTCTCTCTAGGAACTTCAAGGTGTTCCTGCGAAACTCTAAGACATGACCCAACCAAGGAATGAGCCCTTTATCGAGGGGGGGTTCTCCTGGTCGCCGCTGTCTGAACACTCCGAGAAGGTACAGCCCTCCGACCAGACAAGCAAGAAAGCCAAGAAGTATCGGCAGCAGCAGCTCCATGACTGATTCAGTTAACCAGCACAGATTCATCTGAAGGAAAGTTTCAGGCCTGCTATAATGAACAGACCTTTGCTCCTCCCCCAGGATAGGTTTCTGCGAATTTGTTTGGAATTGTTTACTAAAAAAAAAAAAATGTACTTAAGTATCAATTGAGGACACGATTTTCCAATTGTCCTAGAGATTCCCCTCTTTCGAAATCCAAAAGAACATACTGTAGCCTGCAGTGATATTATGTTTATGTTAACAGCTCTATGACAGCAGGTATGAAGAGATTGTGGAGCAATGAGTGCACACTGGCAACAAATATCACTCTAGTTAATCATAAGTAAGAAAAATAAAGTTTTGAGGGGTCAATGGCATTGCATGCTGTTGACACTAGATGCGTGATTCTGGTTTATTTTTTACCAGAATTGTTTAGGAACAGTCAGTCAGTGTTCAAGTAAATTATAACTAAGAAGAAAACTGTCACTGTTCTGGGTAATTTTGACCCAGCTTTTTCGGTTTCTTTTATTTTGGTGTTTTTCTAGATTATGTTCATTATATTTATGTTCTGATTCCTTAGCTATCCTGTGTTGATTATTGTCAATGGAAAATTGTACTAAGTAGCCAGTATAAGCTTTTAGTGATATAAGTTTACATGTGATAGAATACTGCATGATGACCTTTTCCTTGCTTAGAACTGATTGTCCTTTATAAAACGTGTTCTGATTTTTCTATCTGAATCTTCCCCAATTCTGACCTCGCACACACACACACACACACACACACACACACACACACACACACACACACACACACACACACACACACACACACACACGCTCACGTATCAACATTCCACTGAACAAATGTTTTTATTTTTCTTGTGTCTAAATAAAGACAAGTGCAAGAACAGAGCGCTGATCACAGGGCCCCCACTCTCGTGTGAGCGCTCTGCGACCACCCTTGCAAGAAAAATCTGCAGCGTGTGTGTGTCTTCACTCTTAGACTCTCAGCTGAAGAAGTGTCTTTTAGAATAAATCTCTTGACATTTATTATAATTATTCTGATTTAGGCTTTGTTCTCTTGCCCTCATGTTTAGTATAGGTTTAGTTCTGTGCTTAGTCTTCTCTGCTCGTGTGTCCCTCTGTGTAAAGTCCATGTTTCTCAGTCCGCATCTTTGTGAATTGTTTCTGGTTTCCTGTTTTACTTTGAAAGTTCATGTCTCATGTCAGTGTGTTCAGTTTTACTTCTCCCTTGTCTTGTTAACCTAATTTCTCCCAGCTGTGTCTCCCTCCTGTTTCTCATTCCCTGATTACTTCCCTGTGTATATAAGCCCTGTGTTTTCCTGTGCTCTCTGTCGTGTTGTACTTTCTCCATGCTGTGTGTTTGTCGTGGTCCAGTATTCCAGCACCTCTGTTCAGAGTTTTTGTTCTGTTCTTGTGAGTCTTATTTTGAGGAGTTTTTCCAGCAATAAAGCTGCGTTTTCAGTTTAAGTCCTGTCTCTGAGAGTCCTGCATTTTGGGTCCTTTTTCCTGCCTGCCACACAGCCAACCATGAAAAAAACAGGTTTTGACACTAGGCCTGCCAAATGGCCTTATTTTTTTTGCAGAAGAGTTTAGGATAGCTAAATAAAAATATAAAATATCAGCTCATTCGGGCCATGCCTTTTTTCTTTTCAGAGATTAAAATCAGGCACCAGTTTAGTTCTCTGGTTGTGAAGGTGATGATCTACAAGACCGCTGAAATGCATTCGTTCTTTGCTCTGTGTCTTAACGATCAGTCTCTCCCTTTCTCATTGTGCCAAATCTAAAGTTTGGTGGAGGGGAGATTATGATGTGGGGGTGATTCTCAGGAGTTGGGCTTTCCCCCGTAAATCCAGTGGAAAGAACGCAAGAATGCTCAAAAATTCCCCTAAACACATTCCTAAACAATATGGCAAGCCTTCCCAGGGGAGTTAAATTAATATTAAACCCTATTTATCAAGAATAGGATGTCACTCACGTTCATATGAGTGGGAAGACAGACCAGCAAATACTTTTGGCAGTATGGTGTATCTGCAAACACAGTAGTATATGTGAGGGGGCAAACTCCTCAAGATGGGTGGTGACCATGGTGGCCATTTAGAAGTCGGCCATCTTGGATACAACTTTGTTTTTTCAATAGGAAGAGGACCATGTGACACATCAAACTTATTGGTAATGTCACAAGAAAAACAATGGTGTGCTTGGTTTCAACGTAACTTTATTCTTTCATGAGTTATTTACAAGTTTCTGACCACTCATAAAATGTGTTCAATGTGCTGCCCATTGTGTTGGATTGTCAATGCAACCCTTGAGGAGGACTTTAATATCACCAACCATTCCCATGTTATTACGGTGTATCCATATAAATGGCCCACCCTTTATTTATTATCATTGTCGCAGGTACAACAAAATTAAACGTGGTCTCTGATCAGTGCATCATCCATAGAAATATAAAAATATAAAAAAACAAAATTGAATAAAATCAATGAAAAAAATACTTAAAGTGCTAAAAAAAATAGTATGAGCAAACATTCACATACATTCCCACACATGCTTCAGGCAGTGCATAGATCATTATAAAAGTGGTGTGATTTTTTCAGAAGCAGCATTCAGACATGTTATTGCGGTTGGGTAAAAGCTGTGTTTGAGTCCATTTGTCATTACACTGATTGCTCTGTACTGTGTGCCCGAGGGCAACAGTTCAAACAGGGAGTGTGGGGTATCTTTTATTATGTTCTGAGCTTTTTTAATACAGCGGGTATTATGAAGATCTTCCAGTGTGGGGAGAGGGCAGCCAGTGATCCTTTGAGCGGTGTTAATGACCCCTTTGGAGTGCTTTCCTCTGAGCCACCGTGCAGCTAGATGCAATAGATTATTACACACTCGATGGTGGCTCTGTCGAAGGACAGAAAAAAAGTTTGTTGCTTTCTGCTTTTTTTGTATTCTGTTCTTTTTGCCAATAAAAATACACTCTGAGTTTCAGTCTGTCGTCACTGTCTGCAATTGGGTCCACGCTCTCTCCACTCCACGGATCTGCCAGCGAAGGCGTGACAAGTCCTTCATTCTGGTTTATTTTCACCAGAATTGGACATCAACATCACATGTTGTTCTAGCAAATTATAACTAAGAAGTAAACAGGTTTTAACACTGTTTACTTGAGGACATAGTTTTTATTTAGTGAAAAATTTCCAGAAACCCATCCTGCGTGCTGGGGGAGGAGCAAAGGTCTGCTCATTAAAGCAGGCCTGAAACTTTCCTTCCTTCCACTACCATGGAGACTATATTTTTGGTAGCGTTTGAATGAACGTCAATCTTTCTGTTTGTAAACATGATGGCTTAAAAAACTTTCAGTGATTTCTGAAAGTATTTAGAGTGTGGTCATATTAACAGTCCATTTGTCTTATGTCCAATGAGATCTTTAACTTCATCCTATTGATTTAAGATTTTGGTTTAAAATGGACTAAATGTCTAAGTGTTGGGTGTAAAAATCATATTAATGAATGTTTCAGGTATTTATTAAAGCTGTGAGGGGATCAAATGCACAACAACACACACAGAGGAAGTGACTTTATACCCTAAATTCCACTATATTGTTACATAACACACAGCCTTGTGTTTAAAATATTACATATAAAACCTTGTTAAGCAAGATTTTTTTGGTCTAAATCTTGCTTTGTTGTTTCGTTGCCTTAAGGCATAGTAGACCTACATAGATTTTTTTAATGATTTAATCTTATATGTTAAGCACATTGAGTTTACTTGGAATGAAATGTGCTATATAAATTAAATTCACATTACCATTGTAAATACAGGTCTCATTTAGAAACTCAAAAGTGCCTCAATAGTTTGAAGAAAGGAGAGGTTAACTTCACTCTCACACTATGTTTTACAAGCTCCTTGAGGGTTAAAATATTTAGTGTTGTTTATTGCTGAGCACACACATCAGAGATCTGCTTGCTATATGCTCTGTTTTGGTGTTTAGATCTATTTCAACTGTAGGGAACAATACTCACCTAAAAGTGGTCATAATTATCAAAGCAAAGCAAGGAGGTTCAGATTTCAGATGCAGTTCTCACATCAGGAGTACATTTCCCAATCCATGTTAGTCCTTCTCTTTGAGTCTCACTGCTATTGTTTTTACACCTATTTCACATTGTAATCTAAGGAGTTTGGAAAGAAAAGCATCTAGACTACACAGACCTGGCTGACTGAGAACCTTCACGGACCTATTTCACATTGTTTTTTATTTATCTATTACGCCTTAATTTCAAACAAAATGTCTGCTGAGATTAACATCTCTTAAACTAAGCTTAGCATCAACACATATACACATAAAACAAAGAATTTACACAGGCAAGAAAAGAGATCACCCAGTAAGACTTTATACATAAAAAATATACTTTAGGCTAAATGTAGGGCAAAAAAACACATCATAAAGTACACAGTAATGTCTACAGGACAAAACATTTGAATTGAAAAAGAAAAAAGCTGACACATTTGCTGTCACAAGCTTTAGGTATGAACAGAAATATCATATGTTATAAACATGTAATATTTTAGAAACAGGTAGAAATGGAGGCCACAGTTCTGCAAGCCTGACTGCTCGTCACTGCTTTTGTGTCCTTTTGAAGTTTAGGATCTGGCTGCTGGACTGGGGTCAGCAGTTGTTTCTGTCTTGAACACAAATTTTTTCCTTTCTCTCCGCTCAGAGTGCCGTCACTATTATGACAAAAAAGCAGGGCCCTATCGGACGGTTTTAAAGAAGCTGTGCCAATGATTCCACACCAGTCAATAATTCGATTATTCCTTTGCCTGTGTTTCACATCTGCATTAATTTGTATGAACTGTGGCTTGGTAGTTCTTACCCAACCTCAGGGTTAATGTACTCCTAGTGCTGGTCCCAAGCCTAGATAAATGGGAGAATTGCACATCTAAATCCACCCGATCTGGCAGCTAGTTGGGAAATAGGTAAGCAGCTGCCACCAGGTTTTAGTTCTTGTTTAACCTTTCTGACAGAAAAAAAGACAAAAAGAAAAGCTACTGAGGAGGAATTAACATGAGGCACATATATATTTCAAAGTATTATTGTTATTAAAGCTCAGGACATTTACATACTTAATCACAATTTCTTCAGCTTAAAACAACACAAAGTGATAAGTGTTATCTGCAGAGATAATCCGATTACTTTTTTTCAAGTAATGAGTAAAGTAAGGGATTACTATTGCAAAAAAGGTAATTCGATTACCGTTACTTTCCCG